TGGTCCACCATTCGCACCAGTCTTCCTCGGTTTGAAGTGAGTCGTGACGTAGGTTCAGGAACACGTGATTTGGGTCATGACCTATCTGACTTGAAAACAAGTGGAAATTTTTCTTCAGAGTTGTCTACATTTAGTTGAAAATGCCGGAAAGGTGCGTTGCCGATCTTTGTAACAACGTTAATGATCCAGAAAACAACATCAGTCTTCATCGTAGGTTCCTGAACCTACGTAACAGGCATCAGTCTCGTGGCCATTTTGAACACGTTATTCAGCGGCAGGGGTCGACCGCAAGTTAATAGAATTTTGAACTTTGTAAAGATTCGTAAAACAATTGCATTTTATCCAAATCGAAAATGAGCAAAAAAATGAGCAAAAAAAAGTTTAGACATTATGGGCACTTTAAACAAGGCCTTTTTGAACAAACATCTTAACACGTTGATGTTATAAACAAAATGCCTTTCAGCTAACACAGCGTTTTATCCTCCTTTCCGTTGTGTTACTGTCTACTGGCTTGTTATTGTGCACTTTGTATTTCTCCAGCACTGTCTCCACTGCATCAAACACTTTATTGGGATAATGAACCTCGTCCACTATGCCACCCGGATATGAATCGGTCAGCGGATACACGTCTATGACGTCAAACCCCGCTTGACACATGGCGGACATGGCGTAAGCGCTGAACAGTTGAACTCGCTGATAAGAAAAAGAACATGTTTAAATTAAAATGAGTGTCACAATGTGGCCTACGTACGTAGGTTAAGTCGGCATACGAGCCAAGTGGCCCACCAGGTCAGAGCTTATCCTGGTTTCAGTAGCATGAAGGGACTAGGAATATTTCTACTCCCCCCCCCCCCCCCCCCCCCCCCCCCCCCCCCCCCCCCCCCCCCCCCCCCCCCCCCCCCCCCCCCCCCCCCCCCCCCCCCCCCCCCCCCCCCCCCNTTAGATCCCTGTTCCGCTCCCGTCTTTTGTCAGTAAAATTTGTGTAAGTTCTGTTTATAGCGATGGCCTTTTTGTCGTATTTGCGGAGGACACGGATAAGTTTATTTGTCATGCCACGCTTTATACATTTCCCCAAAGCAGTTCTATTTACTTATTACCTGTGTGGTAAAAAATCTCCAGTTGGTCTTGTTTTTCACTTCGGCATTTTCTTTGTGTATGGCGGTCGATGATTTCCAAATAACTTTAGCTTTATACCTCGGGACTCTTCTCCCTTGTGAATTTACTTTGGTCTCCTTCAACGTGTTTATCAGGTTACCAATGAGCCTCTGGTATGTCGTAAAATTGACACTGATAGGGAAATGTAGTCCAAGATTTAAGAGCAGTACACTTTCTTTTCGTTGCATTTCCGGTCTCTGAAGAACACTCAGAATAGTTTTTATGACCTTGCCAGGCTGGAAATCTAGATTATCGTCCTCGTGCTTACTTACAGCCTCGCTTATTACAGGATATATCCAGTTGTAACTGCGGCGACATCCCACATAGAGTCTTGAGCAAAGAAAACGAGACTGTACAGATTCCAAGAAACGTAGAGCAAGTGAATCACCATAAACCCACAGTACACCCCTCGGTCGATACCCAATTGGCAACGACCAGTTGTAGGATTCTATTGTTAAACAGAAAATCGAGAGAGAGAGAGAGCTTGAGCATATTGCAAAACACGTTAGCTAATAAACACAATAACTTTGCTGCTTGATTTCTGTCGAGACTAAGCAGGGGAAGAGAGAAGGAAGGTGAGGATAGGACAGGAAATGACAAGAGAGATGGACGGTGTATTATAATAAAATAAATAATAATAATAAAAAGAGAGGGGCGCAAAAACCCCCAAAATCGATAGCGCCATGCCACACGTCCAGCAACGTTTATGACTAGGAAAATTGAAGTTTGAAAAAGAGAAGAAATTTGTGGGAGCTGGAACTGGAAAGAGATTGTTACCAATAAGAGATATGTACCCTTGCCCCGCCCCATTTCACTTTTCTTTGCATGCACAATTTGCACGACCAATGCCATAATTGGCAGACATTTGCCATTCAAATCTGATTCACGAGGTAGATAAAATGAGGTTTGTCTCTAACCTTGAAGGTCTGGTTTCCATTGGTTATTTGTCCATCGACCAAATCCATCCCATAAGTGATTGCAGGTGTGACTACAGGAATCCAGTCCCTCGCCGAGTTTTTCTGACAAAACGGAAGGAGATAAATCAATATGTATACAGGAGTTATCCTTTGGCTGAATAGTAATTTCTTTTTGACCTTTCAACTTGAAAGCTCAGTTAGCATATTGGAATTCTCGTAACTAAAGTGTTTCAAAGAAACTCCCGTGTTAATAGGATTTCACATTCAAAGAAAGAATTTCTGATACTGGCTTGGTAACAACCGTGGTCGCAATCTATTTTCGCCTTATAAATAGTTGATGCATAATGAAAAATGAAGATTACGAGGAATGATGAAATATTTACAAAAGAAAACTTGTCTTGCTAAAAAGTCTCAAATATCGGCTTAATGAACTGTGTTATAGTGTCAGCAGTGCGTGTGTCCCAACAAGACTTACAGACAGCAAGTCATCTGTACGAATTGCTTATAAAATGCCAGAGTTGCTTTTATTTACGTGTACTTACCTACTGAAGATATATTGAGTAGTGCTTCTGGGACTGTTATAATCAAAGGTTCCCCATTCTTAAAGGGCTGTCTCAAGTAGTCATCCAGCGTGCCTAGAAGGCCGTCTTTCTGGAACTTTCCTTGAGCGTTGCCTTTAATGAACCAGTCACGTGGTGGATCTCTGAATCCATCACAAAGACTGTAATCCAGATGTATAATAACTTGATAAACACCAGGCTCACCGATAAGAAATAGAGCTTCGTAAGTTCCATTATTGTGATCAAAAACAGTGGCCGCAACGCTTGATGGGCCATGTACGTAAACCCTCCAAGAGTCTCCACCAATCGTCTTCGTTCGATTGTCCGAGGTTTTTGATTGAATAAAAATCTTACTAAACTCTCCCGCCGGTCTGATGTCCCAGAACACGACCTCACTAGCAACAGCGCTACTTCTGTTTAGTTTGCTCCAGCCGTCATTTACTTGGCCCCAAGCCATATTGTCATTACACGGCTTCATGACACTTTGCCAGTCTACGCGTGCGCGGCGTTGACGTAACCACTGACGACGGAAATCTTGAAATCGACGAGAAATCGACGACCTCTGTACAGTTTTAGGTTTCGAGATTACCTGTACCAACTTTAAGTCAAAAGTGTTTTTTGAGATGTCTGCTTGGTTGTCGGTTGAATTTCCTACCACCTGCGTGCTATCTTGTGTTTTGTTTGAATCGTCGCTATTATCGCTAACGTTGCTATATTTTGCAAAACTTATATCTGGCCTAACTGAAGAACTTGAAGTTTTGTCTTGGCTTTCCTCTGCAGCGACCGAAGGGGACTGTAATTTGACACTTCCCCCTGGTGAATCTTCTAGCCGCGTCACAATGCCTTCTTCTGACTTATGCCAAGCGTAACCATTGATCCTTCCCAACACCCCTGGTCTTTTTGGAGCCATATACTTGCTCTGCAATTTCTCAAACAACTCGTTGGGCGAGATTGCAGCTTTGCTTGATGAGAAGGGATCAAAAGGTCGAAACACGTTGTCGTGAATGACGGCGGCAGGCGGAGGCGTCCCATAGTCACGCTCATCCATCAAGTAGTACCGGAAGTACAAATATAAAGCCGCGCATGTGCAAAGGTAGCACGCGAGGAAGCGTACGAGACTGGGACACGCTCGACCGTGTTTCATTGAGACGTTCTGCTTGTCCGCGCGTAGATTCCTTACAGAGAATGTTCCCATGGACAAGGGGTAGTGGGCATACTTCTTCCTTCGACTAAGTGCATCAAGGCGGATAGGCTCTGGTGGGAGCCCACTCGATCACATAAAACTGTAAAAAAGTAGCAAGCCTTTCAGATAAATGAGCATCGAAATTGTACACTTTATTTACGACTTCCCTTTCATTGGAACTGTCAAGCGTGGGTCTATACAAAGTATATTGAAGTTGCAGTTTGTTTACTCGACCTGCCATTGTGGAAACTTTAAATCCCCACCCCTCTCCCATTTTGTCAGATTTAGTAGCCATCAGCATTTTTACTCCTAGGTGGAGAGGGGCACTGCTTAAGTCAAGTACGTTGTCTTGCCCAAGATCGAGGACATAACACAATGATAAGTTCTTATACTCGAACATTCGGATCGCCCAATCAATAGACCAAAATATTCAATCTGAAGAATGATCAAATTCAGTTTCTCCTATATCAGTACACCGTTGAATATTCTGGTTAGGAGAGTCAAGAAAATCATCAACAAAGCGTTAAGTTTTCATGCTGTACCATGCACCGCGTCCGCTTGAATTATACGCAAAATGTACGTCATTTCCACTGGTACGTAATTGATATTTCGTACTATATTGCGCTCTTATAAAATTTCAGCAAGTAGTATGTTAGCTGTAGAATAATTTGGCTGCAAAATACACGGTTTTAAGTCAGCCGGTCAACAGTTAAGGAAACCAGAACTCACAATTTTGTAGCAGTTTAAACATATTGCATAGAACGCGTAATAAAGAATTTCAGGCTTCAACGAGATTCCAAACCTCGAGCTCTGCGATACTGGACTATTTTACTCTGGTCCCGTATGCAAGCAAGTATAACCGTGAAACTAGTATTTTCAAGCGTTATAAAGATCTCAATGACGAGTTCATGCGTGCACTAGACACAGGAAACCACTGACTGGAATTGTAAATGAACACCACAGAATTTTAAGCACAGAATTACATCGCCAATATAGCATAAACGACAGATATGTTATTTAACATACAACTCTTCAAAATTTTTTATGACGAGTTTCTTCCTTCTAGCTAAAGTCGCTCGAATCGCACATTGCTTCTACCATTGCATTTCTGTAAAACAGAACACAAACACATAGATGCGAATCTTATTTCAAGTTCACTCACCGACTTACAAACTCCACTTTAGATGTGCATGGCCTAAACTGGCATGAAACAATTGAAGGA